TAGTAAATTCAATTTGTGTGTGTATAGTTTTTGTAAGAAGAGGCATAGGTGAAAGTGGTTCCATTTTTCATGCAAAGTCATCGGAAAAATGTCATATCATCATGGTAATGGTGTTTTCCTAATGGAATTAGTAATTTACTCATTAGAGAATGTCATGGTAGAGTTCTGCAGTTGTCCAACTTGACTAAGAGTGTTCATTGAAGTGATTTACTATATGATATTTGACAGATGAAGGACGTGTTAAGGAATTCAACTTAAAGAAAATGTGGAAAAGTCCAAATGGAACTATTCGAAACATTTTAAATGGTAAGTGTTTCTCACTTGGTATGATTTTGTTCCCAGTTTATTGTTATTATTTTTATTTGCTTTTGTTCAGGGATTTGAAAGGGCTCAAATTATTTCTCCTCTTTTTTCTTTTTTGTGACTCCAGGAACAGTTTTCAGGGAACCAATTATTTGCAAAAATGTCCCTCGGCTTGTTCCAAGTTTGTGCACATTCTGTTTCATTATTCTTATCAGTACTGTTATTTGTTTTATTCATCTAAAACATTTCAGGCTGGACTAAGCCAATCTGCATCGGGAGACATGCTTTTGGCGATCAGTACCGAGCAACTGATTTAGTTGTACAAGAACCTGGAAAACTCTTGCTTGTTTTTGGTAATCTCCTGCTTTAACAGAGAAATTCTGTCAATCTATAGGTTTTATACTTTGACATGATATTGCAGATTTTCTGTAGAAGAAAACCCAAATTCATCTTAATTTAATCTTATTTTATCTCATGAATCTTTATTTTTGCAGTTCCTGATACGAGTGGTGAGAAGGAGGAGTTCGAGGTTTTCAACTTCAAAGGTGCTGGTGGTGTAGCTTTGTCCATGTACAACACTGATGAGGTACATGTTCAACATGTATTGTCGATTGTATGCTCAACAGGTTTCTAGAAGCCATTAACTATCATTGTGGCTTTGAATTGAAAACAGTCTATTCATGCTTTTGCCGAGTCTTCAATGAACAATGCTTACCAGAAAAAATGGCCACTTTATCTTAGCACAAAAAACACGATTCTGAAGAGTTACGATGGAAGGTTTGCATTTGCATTATATGTTTTTTTTATATTCTTATTTGATCTTTGTAACCATTTATTCCTATCATTCGGTGATATCTTCTGATGTTTTTCTTTTTTCTGAAGATTCAAAGACATTTTCCAGGAAGTTTATGAAACTCGATGGAAATCCAGGTTTGAGGCAGACGGTATATGGTGAGATACAGTACCCATTGCAGTTTGCTCTTGTTCTATTTGGAGTAACTTCACTAGCATGACTTGCTTTGCTGTATTGTAGGTATGAGCACCGTCTTATTGATGATATGGTTGCTTATGCTCTAAAAAGCGAAGGAGGGTATGTATGGGCATGCAAAAACTATGATGGAGATGTGCAGAGTGATTTCCTAGCCCAAGGTCTTGCATATTTAAGATTATTACATCTGCTTCATATATAATTATAATCAACTGCTTCTCTGAAAGTAAAAGAGGCATTACTTTGAGAAATTTCTAACGAAGGTTTTAATGCCATGCTTCATTTCCTTTGTTGATTTCCTAAGCTTTTTTTTTTCTTTTTGGCACGGGACAGGGTTTGGATCTCTTGGGTTGATGACATCAGTGCTGGTATATTTTCTCCTGTCTCCCCCCCTCCCTTCTTCAACTAAACATATCCGTAAATAGATAGGAAACAGCACCCATAGCGAAATGGCTTCATACATATAAAAGATAAAAGGAAAAAGACAGACATTACATCCATGCACAAGCACCCACAATGTAACAACCATTACGGACAATTTTGGTGAGATATAATCTGTGAAATCTCTGAGCAGTAAGCTTTTAGCATGAAACAGAAAATGGGAATCAAGTGATGTTCTGAAAAAAAAAGTTGTAATTCAATTTCAGAAAGACTAAATATCTGAGAAAGAAATAAATGGTATACTTTGGTGCTCAGGTGGTTAATGTCTGATGCAGACTGCAGAAGCATCAAAGAAAAATGAGAATTTGTGGGCGTATGGAAAATTGTAATTTCTGCTTTTGACTAAAACAAAGTAAAAACTGAAGAAAATGCTGTCCTTGACTAATTTTCATGAATAGAAAAACAAAATACTTCTCAGATTTTTCTTTCAGCATTTCTTTAGCCTTCTTTCAAAAGGATATCCATCATCTCTTAGAATGGGGAAAACTAGGTCATGTTGATTAACGATTCATGAATTTAACATAAAGGTTTTACTAACATGGCATTAATGTAATTTGTAAATTAGTTGAATAATATTTTTAACTCCAGTAAATTTACGTAAAGTCGTTACGGACACTACATGAAATTTGGTTCTTATAGTGGTTACAGTATATGAATTTGAACAATTCATTATGCTTGTAATGCCTTCGGCTACTATGATAAACCCCCCAACTATAATTTTAAATTCTCATATTTTCCTTTTGGATATGTGTAATTGAATTTTTTTTCAGGTGTGCCCAGATGGAAAGACTATTGAAGCTGAAGCAGCTCATGGCACGGTTACCCGCCACTACCGTGTTCATCAAAAAGGAGGTGAAACCAGCACTAATAGCATAGCATCAATTTTTGCTTGGTCACGAGGCCTTGCACACAGGTATTGTTTTGTTATTCTCAATCTAGTTATTGAGTTCATGTGGTGTGTTTTGTCAAAAGCTTGGAATTCTTATGGCGGTGTTTTGAGTCCCCTTGGAAATTGGGAATTCTTGATGACCAACAACGTGCAGGAAAATACACAATACTTCAAAATTCTTGCATTTGGAATTTGTAAATCGGCAGAACAGTAGATAAAAGAATCTCTTGTATTTTTAATAATCTGGTTACAGCTTTAGGGACCTAAATATATACACGTATTTAAGAGTCTTAATAGGAAAGTCGGCCATACAAGAAATATGAGAACACCAGTAAGTTAGCCTATAAACTAGGATCAAATCTGTCAACAATATGTCCATATCAAAAAGGTAAGTTGCTCTCCACATACACATATATACACATATATATACATATATATAAATATATATATATATTGTTTGAAAGACTCTCAATCATTTGACAATGAACACTCATACATTCTTGCAGACATCTTGCTCGAACTCGTGACCTCAAGGGATAACAACAATCCCATAACCATTGAGATCGCTTGGTTCGTTCATACACACACACACACACACATATAGATAGGGGTGGAATCCAATCACACTATTAGTTATACACCTTTTTAGGATCATTGGATGAGAGAAATTAAAAACTGAGATTAACAGTAGAAAATGAGAATATATTCACTGGAAAAAAAACGAGTTAATCTCAACTTTTGATTTCCCTCAATCCAAAGAACCTAAAAAAGTTTTACACAGTGTAAGTGGATCCTAACCTATATATGTATATATATAATATTAAGGTATAAACGGAAAAGGAGTACCATAATCCTTTTTTGTTGTAATGATAGATATTTTGCATGCTATCATCTTAGATAAAAGCTACCTGACCTATTTGTCCAATCATTATTTCAGTCATGTTAATCTCCCTTAGCCTTTCACTTTCAAACACGGATAATGGATCGCATAATTTAAACTTGAACTTCTGAATGTTAAAAGGCAGACTTTTCACTAGTAGTAGGATCACCTAGAATTCAATTGATTACTTAAGTATGAATCATCTGTTTGAAGCACGGATACCAAGTAATATGCCTTTTTTGAAACTACATATATGCAAAGTGGAACCCAGATAGGTTTGCTTGTAAATTATATTGCTACAGTTTAAACTTCGAATGCAGTTTGCTTGAAAAGCTAGTATGAAATCCTAAGATTCTGACTGCAATGGAATTTATATACCGAACCACCACTCGCTAGCAATGAGGATGTCTAATACTGCTCGAGAGTTGAGACTTAACATGTGCACTTAGGCATTATAATATATGTGCAGGGCAAAGTTGGATGGCAACGATCGACTGCTAGATTTTACTGAAAAGCTGGAAGCAGCCTGCGTGGGAACGGTTGAATCCGGAAAGATGACAAAAGACCTAGCGATTCTCATTCACGGACCTAGGTATGTGCTCTACTAACTTTTTAAAATTTCTGCTGCACCTTAGGCAAGTGGATGTGCATGTACACGTGATTAAATTCGTGGTTTGTGCAGGGTTACTAGGTCTCAGTATCTAAATACCGAAGCGTTCATCGATGCAGTAGCCAAGGAGTTAAGCAAAAGACTGTATGTGAAATCAAATTTGTAAAACGTGTGCATTTTGTGCCCCCCTCATCTCACTTTTATCTTTATTTGTGCGTATGCCAACAAAAAATAAATGCATGTTTGATGCTAAATAATGTCCTGAATTCTACACCAACGTATGATAAATTGAAGTTTGGGGACACTGTTATGTTTGTTCGATTGAATTAATGAGATACTTTGATGTCACAAAGTTTATTGTCTTTGATTTTATTTTTTTATTTGTAAAGTCTCATCCATGATCTTTAACACTTAGTTCTAGTCCTGTTAGCATTAAGTTATTTTCATCACCTTTTTAATTATGGTTGTTCAATTGATTGAATTGAAAATTGATGGTTTGACCGTGAGACAATTGGAAATTAAACAAATTGTTCTAAACAGTTGAAAAACTGATAATTTAATTAAAGAATATTATATAAGTATGTTTGATCTTATATCTTCTCTATATTATAACAACAAAAAATGTCAACGGAATTAAATTATTTATACTAAATGCATTTTACCAGTAATGATACAATTAATATATATGGTTCCTGAGTGCAAAACTTGAAAAATAAAACGGGTGAAGATCATTAAGGAATGAGAGTAATGTGAATCCGTTTCTTCGGACGAGTTTTTTAAATTTAAAATTTTGATTAAAAATGAATTATTTAAGAATACTTTTACCTTTCAAACAGAATTATGCATATATTTAACTGAATTGCTTTAATTTCACATCTAAAATATAGACATGGAGAGAGTTAATAACGAACGAATTAAAAATGGAGACGCGTGCGAGACAAAAGAAGAGGGCGGGCAAAGCAGAGCAGTCGTCCAACTTCATCATCCCCCGATACCACGCTCCACCCATCAAAATTTACTGTGAAAAGAGTTTGAAAAGCCATGGAGAAGGAGAAGGAGAAGGAGAAGGAAGGGATTAGCGCAGTTCACCCAGCGGTTGCACCACTGCCCTACTTGTTGGGCAAATGGAAAGGCTAAGGCCAAGGAGTATACCCCACTATCAAACTCCTTCAGATATGGCGAAGAGCTTTACTTCTCTCACGCTGCGCCTGGGAAGCCCGTCATAGCCTACTCTCACAAGACTTGGAAACTCGATTGTGGTCTGCCTATGCACTGTGAGTCCGGCTATTGGCTTCCTAAACCTGATGGCTCCATTGAAGTTGTCATTGCTCAGGGCACTGGCCTAGCTGAAGTTCTCGTATCCTCTTTTCCCTTCCTTTTTCTGTATTTAACATTCTTTTATCTTCTTTTATACTTGATAAATGTTTTCCATTTCTGAAGGGGACTGACAGTGCAGAAGACAAATCAAGTTGTAGCCAATGCTTCCAAGGTAATTAAATCCAACATTTTTTATCTTCTTTTTCATTTACCAGCTTCATATTATACTATCTTGGTGATTTCTTTTTCCATTGTATCTGTCTTAATCATTTGGTCACTTCTTTTATTTATTAGTGAGTGGTAAGTTAGATATAGGAACTGTTAACACGAGGGGATATTCCTTATCATGTTTAAATATTTTCTACTGATGCTCTTACATGTTGGACTACATGCATCGTCAAATACTATTAGGCGTTTGGAACGTTTCAGTGTTGAGCTTAGAATGCAGATTCTTTTTCCTTTTCTGCGCAACTAATCCAAGTAATCAACTGTTGAAGTTACGGGACTGGAAATCTTTTACATTGAAGTTGGGTCTAACTTGAACCGTCGATGCACTTGCGAATAGTAAGTTATTGATAAGGTGTAAACACAGAAATTTAGCTGATATGCTTCAATGTAATTCCTTAACATAAATAGGTTCTTTTTCTGAACTTCTACGATAGAATATGATGGACCTCTGAAGGTAGAACCTGCCCTTTTCTAATTCAAATTTGAGGTTGCTACTTACATATGCTTCTGGATAGAGTGTGAATCTCCACTATGTTTTTACATGTTTTGTTATCCACATTTCCATATACTTTTCCTTGATGCAAGAAGCAACCATGTCCTTTCTCTTTGAGTTTATTAGATCTACCCCTTTTTCCTTCTTCTTTGCTTGCAGTTACATCTACTTGAATTTAATCTTACTGGACTTATCAAACTAAAATTTACTTGGTTCTCTTTTTGAACTTCTTGAGAATCTTGCTGCACATTCCTCACGCTTGGCCTTTCTGAACTGCCACATCAGTCTTGGGGATTAACTTTCATCCAAAATAGTTTTCCAGCTACATTATGTGCTTGTTTTGCTTCATTTTGAGTTCTATACTGTTTGGAGTAATGTTGAAGAAGCATAGGAAATACAGAGACGAGAGATTTAGAGGGGAAGGGAAACTACGGTTATTCAGCAAAAAAAGGAAATATCAGACCAACATTTAAGATTCTCAATAATTTATAATCTAAAGTTACTAGAAACTAAAATTTAAAGTTACGAGCAAGTAGGATGTTTGTGGTTGTTAGGGCATGAGAGTAGGGAACACGGTGGGTACATGCAGATGGCAAGAGTGATGAAGCTATAGGTTGTTGGGGTCCTTACCTTTTAATTAGTTATCTTTCGAAATTAGATTTTGTCTCTAGCATTTAGTTTATGTAATTCTCATTTTGTGAACTTGTTTATCTCCATAGGTTATTATAAATTAGTCTTATCATGTTGGTTGTTTAGGCTATGAACATATCCTATTTTCTTTGTGGTTATGACCCAAGTGGCCATCAGTAGCTTAAGCTCAATCTGGTAGTATCCATTGACCGAACTGTTATATGGGTTTAACTGGTTCGCATACATTCATATCAGATGCAGAATGTTATTTCTACTACCCAAATTTTAGACAACCTCATAGTACAGAAGCATGCATCATGCTGGTACAGGCTCTGATCCTAATAGTAACGATCTAGGGCTAAGCATCTCAAGCCCCCACGATTTTTCTAGCCTAAACCGTGTGACCCTTGAAAGCTTAAGCTCAAGTTGCAACTTTTGATTGACCTAGAGGGTTAAAAGCAACAAAGTCTACTCTTCTGCATGAAGTGGAAAGAGAAAAGGTGAAAACAAAAGCTTTTCTTTTCATACTGAATCACCACATTTATCATGAGGATGAAAGAGAGCGTGGTTAGAAAATATCAAGAAATCAAGCATTTTCTTACATGGCTATGAAAGCAATATCAAAGACTTAGAGGATGGCGATGAAGAAAACCTCAAACAAGTTGAGGGTGGCATGGAAAACCCTAAACAAGTACAAGATGTTATTATGGCATCAAACAATAGTAATTTTCTCATGTGCCATAAGATACATGAAAATGGATTGGATAATGAAGTTAATGGGTAGCGTTTCAACAATTCCTCATTTCTTGTAATGAATATGAACTTGATTCTTAGTCTTGAAAGTTAAGTTCAGCGGACTGGAGCTCTTAACAAGGTAGCACTTTTCTAAACCGTTTAGTCTCTAAATGTGTAGATTCAACTTGCATATTCCCAACATTCTCTGGTTTAGACATATCATTTCGTGTTAACTTATCTCATTCCACCTCTTTGTTTTCAACTTTTTATTCTTCTTTTTTTGTTTTCTATGATGGAATTTAAATGACTGGTTTCCCCAAAATTTTCAAGCGTTATCTTTTTAATGGTTAAAGGCATTCATGTTTGAAAGTGGGATCAATTGGAATCCAAAGAAGCAGAGAAAAATACCCTAACTAATAATCTAAAATTATAGATTAGACAGTTTGAGACTTATGTTTTTGCTCCATCTTGAGTGAAGAACACAGTTTGGATGGCTTTTGAAGAATAAAGTTGAGCCTTATTAACCGCCATTCACCATTTTTTTTGGTTGAGCAGGTGAGGAAGATAATGAGATGGTTAACGGGGAACTACATTGTCTTGTTCAAATCGCTACCAATCTTACCACTCTTCAACCACATCGTAAAGTTGTGCTCAAGAAGCTGCCATAGAACTTCAAAGCAAGTACTTTTTATCTCGTTGGACCGAATCGAACTATTTTCGTATTTAATATTACGAAACTCCGGTTCCAGTCCAGACCAGATAAGCCGCTTGTTTTGGCTACAGAAGTATTGCAATGTTTGGTGGCCAAGGCCCAAGTCACATTCCCTGCTCAGGAACTTGATTATTGTGTATTGAGTGCCAACACATTAACTGTTGACTTGAACTTATGCTGGAAAAAATCGCTACTAAACTTCATGACAGACAACATATGCTGAAAAAAGAGTCGGTAATTATCCCCAACTTTCGGCTGGGTGCAGATTGCAGATTGAGAAAATTAAGGGTGTGATTGAACAGCTGGATCCTCCTTGAATTTGCATTACTCGACTAAATCAAGTGTCTAAACCCCAAGGCTTTTGATTGATAATGTTAAGTCATTTTGGTTTTCAGTTGGTTCACGTAATCACCTTCGATTCAATAATTTATAATCTAGTTGGTCCGGTTTGCTTTGTGTCGTCACTTATAAAACGTAATATTCGATAAATTTTTTATTTAGTTTGTGTAATAACTTCTTTTCCATGTTTTTAGTTTAGTGGCATATGTTCAACCAGTTTTTCATCATCTCATGCGATGCGAGTAAAACCCTTGAATTTAATGCAAGTTCGTTGGCAACGACAATCCTTTAAGGACCAACTTGAAAAGAAATCTTGATTATGGATAAAATCAACGATTTTATCCAATTTAATGCCGAATTCCGGTTACCAATTAATAAAAGGGGCCCAGCTTCTCTAATTTATGTCCATCCAGTCATGGATTGATTCTCTAAAACATGCACTTTAAAGTATACGTCAATATTAATAATAAGCAATCAATTGTGTGATAAATTTTATTCAACTATGATTATTATGTTAAAATTCGATTATGGTGTGTTAGAATTTATGGTGCTTTATCGATCAACCAAAATTATTGCTAAGAGGGGGTGAATTGGTCTTTTTAAATTTTTGGGAATTAAGGATAAATGTGATAGGAAAATTTGCTCAAAGATTTTAGTGGTTCAACTTCCTCAATGAAGTCTACATCCACAACCTTAGCTTCTCACTACGGATTTCTAACAAATTCACTAATTTGTTTTTTCTTTTTCTAGGCTCAAGAGTAACCTTTACAAATTCTCTATCTTTTACAATGGTTAAGATAGAACCAAAATCTCTTTTTAATAAAGATAAAAGGTTGTAAACAAAAACCTTTCAAAGGAAGGTGTTTACACAATTTAGCTCACTAAAACACTCTATGTACAAGATAAAAGGAAAAATAAGATTGAAAGAGTTTTTCCCTTGATATGGATTGCTTATGTGTTGTAACCTTCTTTAAGTGTCCTCAACTTGATTTTATATGTTGGAATGAGTTACTAGTTATTTCTAGTCGCTGGAGATGTTTTGGAGTCGTTAGAAGCCTTAATTTTGAGCATTAAATACTCACCTACAACTTTGGTATTGATATCGAGACCGAGCATGAAAAACATTCAAAATTATAGTCTTTGAAGCCTATGTATCGATACTATTTGAAGGAGTGTCGATACTCACCTCCCAGTATCGATACCACACCATGGTATTAATACCATAAAAGCCTTCTGAAATTTCGATCTCGAGACTGGAAACAATGTTTGGCTAATTTCGAGTGTTTTGAGCTTTAAAACAATATTTAAAAGTTCGACAAAATTATAAAACATTTAAAACATAATTTTTAAATTATTTTGGACTTTAAATTATTTCTGAATCATTTGAGCAAATTCAAAGAAGTCCAAAAACATTTTGTCCTTATTTGTTATATCAAAATATATGTTCAACAATCTCACCCTTTCGATATAACAAAACATTTGAAAAACAGTTTTTGGCAAAATCTCCCCCTTATTTAAACAAAGGTTGAATAGGAGAATTAATATGGAAAATATTTAAGCTCCCCTTATTTCATTCTTGAAATTGAATTTTTCAAACCAATATTTCTCCCCTTTTTGTTATATCAAAAATAATTCAAACATTTAGGTTCAAAAATTACAATGGAGAACAAGTAGAAATTTTAACATAAAAACCATTTGAAAAATCAAAAAGCCCCCCTTAATAAATGCCTTCCAAAAAAATTAGACTTTAAAGGTCTGACACTTAAAAAAATTGAATTTCTACAAAAATGAACAAACATGTTAGTAACACATGAAATTCACTAAATCCAAGTTTATATTACTTTATACAATATTAACATGAAACATTAAAGTTCATATGCATAAAGCTATTCAAAAATGTCATGCACTTGAGAATTTTGATATCAATTGTTAGAGAGATAACATTTCCAATAAGTATACATGCATAGACATTTAAATTTAATGTCAAGATTAAAATTTTGTAAAAGAAAACAAAGAATTAAACAAATCTGACCAAAAATCATTATGATGAACCGATAAAAATCATTGAAACTTTAAAACGTTCACCATAACACATTTTAACATACATGAGATGAAAAAACAACATATAATCATTTTGCTCAACAACTCATGCATGCATAAAACAAAATGGGCAAGCAATTATGTAAAATTAAAAAAGATTTAAGTTTAGAGGTTACTCATTCCTCATTTTGTGTGGCTATAGCATTTGAATTTCTTCACTTTTGTCACCATTGCTCCCACACACCTACAAGAGACATTTACTTTGTTTTTAGTACCCAAATTTCTTTGGGTCCTTGAATTTTAGTTTCAATACCCCTTGTTCCTTTAAGAACTCATACTTGTCCAATTTTAAAACGTTTTTAAAAAAAGTTCGGAAAATCAAATCATAAGTCATTTTTTAGAAAATAAAAAGAAAATTTTATTGATTAAGAAAATGTTTTTCTTCCGACCAAACACTAAAAAATAAAGAAAATATTTTATGTGAAACAAACCGGCCTAAGAGTAAAATTTTCATTGTCTTCTCTTATGTAAAATTTGTTCGAAAAAAATTTATTGTAAAAGACTTTAGACAAAATCTCTGTATTTATGAGCAAGTTCTTTTCATTATCAACTTACTTTTTTCGACTTGTTAATGAAATTAATAATATCGTAATGTCTTTCATTAAAGACGTGTTATATGTTAAACAACAATGCATTTACAATGCCTTTCATTAAACTCGTAATTTAATTAATTGAAGTATCAATATAGTCATTTATGAGTGGAACATCTTTTAATTTAAAAAACGTTACTCAAAATTTAATAAGCATTAGTTTTTTTCTATAATATTTTTAAATTAAATGTAGAACTTAACCGTGATTTAATTAAAGATAACTTTATTTATATTTATTTAACGTTAGAATAAAATTATAGACTTGATAATCTATTTTATAGGCTTAATTTGACAGAAATAATTTTATAGTAGGTAAGAGATGCAAACTAACATGCAGGCAGCCAGCTAGCTGGTACTGATTTTTTAGTCTATTTTTTATTTATTTATTTATTTATTTATAATCTTATTTTAATATTTCTGATTTCTGACAAATTCCACCAACTGTTTCTTCCGTTCTACAATCTGATTTATAATTTTAGACTTACACGTACAAAGGTCAACCACAATTTATCAAAAATTAATTTCTAAAAAAAAATATTTGATTTCTAATATGAATATATTATAGTATATTATAAATAAGAGTAAAATACATATTTAGTCACTCATCTATTCCAATATTTTTGGTTTTGGTTACTCAATTATTTTTTTTTAAATCATATCGAACGTTACGTTTTAAAATCATATCTAACGTTACATTGTTAAAAAATAAATATAACTGATGATGTGATCATTTTTAATTTTTTAATGATAACATGATATTACTTTATGATTATAACTTAGTATTAACTTTAATTTTTCAAAGGCGGATGATCAAAATGGAACCAAGAGATAACATCAAGTATGATTTTGAAAGAAAATAGTTGGATGATCAAAATAACAATGCAGGAATAGTTAATGACTAAATATTTAGTTTACCCTATAAACTACAAGAGGATATGACAGTTACTATTAATTAGAAGGAAAATTCACACACACTGTGTGTGTGGTTGAAGGCTTCAAGCTATATATATATATATATATATATATATATGTATATGCTATTTATTACAAGAGGCAAGTACAACCTAATAGTATACTAATGCCAGATTTAAACCATATATTCTTATCTATACGTTTTTTCTGTAGATTTCCCTTCCTCTCTCGACCTCTCCTTGTTTGGTTTCTCAGTGGGCATAAACTTATGGAGGGGAAACTGATGATTTTGCTCCCTTTGATCGTCTTCTTCTCCACCGTTGAAGCTCAGCAACATGTCGAGAAAATGCAGCATCACCAAAATTCCGATTCCTTCACATTAGAGTTAGTCCACAGGCACGCTTTTCAGTTCACCAACAACAAGCTTAAAACTCGGCAAGAACGCCTCGAGGACCTTCTCCATCGTGACGTTATCCGCCACCGTATCGCCTCCCACAGAGTGCAAACCCGAAGAAGATCCGGAGAAGCCATCTCAGCCTCGGCTTCCACCGAAATGCCGCTCGCCTCGGCTGTAGATTACGCGATAGCGCAGTACTTTACGACACTTAACATCGGGACTCCGTCGCAGAAGTTCCGGTTGGTGGTCGACACGGGGAGCGATCTGACGTGGGTGAGTTGTCGCTATGGATGTTCGGGACGTGGTGGTGATTGTAGCAGAAAGGGGAGGATGAAGGGAAATAGGGTGTTCCATGCTCCTTCATCTTCTTCCTTTAGCCCCATCCCTTGCGCCTCAGAGATGTGTGATGTTGTTGCCAGCCCCTTCACTCTCACAACATGCCCTACGCCACTCACTCCTTGTGCCTATGCTTACAGGTACCTAACTTCTTCGTCTTAAATTTTAAGTTGGGAAAATAAATTATTAATAAAAAAATATAAAATAATATTTAAATTATATAATAATTTAAAATTTTCAATGATACGGGATCTTTGTAGACTTATTTTAATTCATCCCTGATGCTGCATTAAGAATCCAATGTCGGTAACAACTGACCTAATATTTCGGTCGAGTGTCGTATACAAGTATAAGTTCCGGACATCACAAGTGTCTGGTTTGAATGGTTCTCTCTTCATACCTGTTTTTTATGTACAAAACCAAAGCCTAAAAATGGTCGGCAAATGCATTTCTAAAGTAAATGCTGTTGGGGAGTTAATAGCTTGCATTTAGGGTTCACTGCTTCTTTTGTAGTTTGGCTTTAAATGCATTAGACAAGGCTAAACCCCACCCAAAGTTACTATGGATTCGGCGAGTGAGATCTTCGGCCACGTTTCTAGCTGAATTACAGTTATGGTGACATAATAGAGTATATAGATTATTTATTGATCTGAGAATAAATGGTGAGTGGTAGAGTTAACTGACGAGGCTGCCTGGCCAGCTGCAGATGCATTAGCCCATCCTACACAACGGTGTTGGTGATAGTTATTATTTGTAGGTAAGGTTCACATGACTCCAAATAATTTGGCACCCAAAACAGGACATTCAAGTCCTGGAATGGGACACGCTTTTGCGAATGCCAGTAATTCCTAGTGGTACTGGCTAACTGTGTTTGCTTTTATTTATGGATACATGTGTTCCGATTAATTTGAGTTTTTCTTATATTTTTTATTGATCTCTTAATGCATCTTTGTTATTATTCTTTCGCTTGCGTGGGATCTTAACCTCGTGGTCGTGGGATCGAGTCTCACTGAGGGCAATTCATAAAGGAAGTCTTCCACGAAAGCTGCTCTCAACCTGGTGTTGGGGGCAGCCTACTACCCTACCTCCCTCTTACCCCATTACATATGGGAATAGGGTCAGCTAATTTTTTTTATTCTTTCGCTTGTCGAGTTTTGAAATTTTTAGAGTTTTATATCCTTGGATCAATTGTAGTTATGACTACTATCATTCCCTTTATCAATTAAATCTATTACCTAATAGTTAGATCTATTTACCTGTCAATCCATCAATAATCATCAACCTTGTGATTGACACTAGCCATGTATTATCTGGTATTAGTGATATATATACACGTACAAGCAAAGATGAGGAGAGAGCTCAAAATTCACCCTTCATCATTTTTAACCATTTTCTTTTTAATAATTTATAGAAGCTCTCCGTCTAAATCAAATGGATGAATCATACAAAAATCACATCAATCTCATTTCTCTCGTCAATAAATTATTAAATTTTTATTTTAAAATATCATTATGATTCGAATTAATTTTCAATTTTTTTGAATTTTTTCTCCCATTTAATTTTACTTGTCTTGAAACAGTTATGTAGATGGGTCAGAAGCAGTGGGAGTCCTAGCGAACGAGACCATAACTGTTGGTCTTACCAATGGTAGAAAAACGAGGCTCCGTAACGTGGTAATTGGATGCACTAACTCTTACAAAGCCTCAATTGGCCACATCGATGGCATCTTGGGGATATCCAATACAAAGTATTCTTTCACAACGTATGCTGCAGAGAAATTCGGTGCAAGATTTTCTTATTGCCTGGTTGATCATCTCAGCCACTTAAACGTCACCAATTACCTCACCTTCGGCAAACGTCGAAACCAAGTGAAAGTGTTGGGCAACACTCGCTATACCAGGCTGGAACTCGACGCCATCCCTTCATTTTACGCTGTAAATGTTAAGGGAATCTCCATCGGTGGCAAAATGTTGGAGATACCTATGAAAGTGTGGGACACGACACAAGGCGGTGGAATGATCATCGATTCCGGCACCAGCTTGACAAGACTAGTGGATTCCGCGTACCGAACGGTGATGGAAGTCCTTACAAAGTCGGTTTCTAAGTACCAACGGGTGAAGTTGGATACAATACCAATGGAATATTGCATCAATGCTACTGCCGGCTTCGATAAGACTTTGGTGCCGAAATTGATCATTCACTTCAAAGATGGAGCTCGGTTCGAGCCACACTGGAAAAGCTATATCATTGATGCTGGTGGTGGAATTAGGTGCCTTGGGTTTTCACCTGCAGGGTTTCCTGGATTATCTACAATTGGAAATATTATGCAACAGAACTATTTGTGGGAATTTGATTTGGAAGGGAAAAAGTTGGGTTTTGCCCCATCTTCTTGCAATAATAGTTAGTGTTCCGTTCCACTTGCACTCGCATTCTGTTGTTAATTTATTGCAACCCAAGTTGGCGACGGCTAATTAGAAAAGGACAAGAAGGTTAAGATAATTTAGAAGAGGGGCTACTTTAAACCAGTCTATGCTAGAGGGACTAAATTGATATAATCCCTACATAGAGGGACTTATAAATGGTAAAATATGCAGGTAATGGCAAAGCACTACTTCATTCATCTCTTTTGGAATTAGAAATATCCCTACTCGTATCATATTACTATTACCTTACTCGAGAGGCTTTAAAACACTGCAAACACAAACACCACCACCATCCTCTCCAACAAAAATCCAACCTATTAATAAACAATAACCGTATTTAGATGAAAGCAGTCCGTCCACCCCTTCGACTATGCCTATCGTAAGCAGTGTTGAATTTGTCGACTAGCTCGTTCATTGTGCTGCAAAGCAATCATCATCATCGTCATCAACATGATAATAATAATATCGAATCATTTTAGCCAAAGATGGCACATGAACATAACCCTTACCTAGAGCAGTTAGTGAACATTGCAAGATAACTAATCAACAAGGTATCATTGTATTCCTGTGAATAATTTCAAAAGAAAAGTTTCAGCAGATTAAACAATTGACAGGCAAATCCTAAAAAAGAAGGCTGCTAAATCCAAAGAAAACAAATGCTTTGAAGCAGGAAATAATTATACCAATACCAATGCATGTATGTAGAATATGTGAATTTCGAACTGTCCAGACTCAAGATCTAAACCAGTTCTATTTCCAACATACTCGCCAACTAGAACGAAAAATATCTTTCAACATGCAACAAACATCTTCCGCGAGTCTTCTACCTCTAACAAACTACTATGAAATCACAAAATTTTTAGAAGATCCTATTACCGAAACATGACCAAATGTTCTGCCAACTTTCTACAGGTAGGTTGCGTTTTCAAATCTTCCCGTACACAGAACTTAGGTAGCCACAAGAAATGGTACTCTGGGAGTAATAAGTTGAGGGGATGGTTGATCATTTTAAGATACCACACTTTTGATTGTGTCAAAGAAAAGTATGATACAAAAACCAAATCATCCTCACAACAGAAAAAATCACTACTTTCTTATGGTCAAGAAGAGCTCACCATCAGAAAGTCATCTTGAAATTTTTCTGATTCGATGGCAGGTAACCTTCTGAGGAGGCTTGATACTTGCCTTAATAGTGAATTTTCGCAAGGAATATCACCTGAAATGGAGAACATATTAGAACTAATTCATGGCCATGTAGTCCACAATAGCCCAAATAATAATAGTCAATTTTTTCTCGGCTTATCCTCTATAAGTAATATATACAACATCCAATAAGAAATGGGAAATTTCTGATAAAAAGTCATAAAAACAATTAAAGATGGTAGTGTTTATAACTTTTTACATCCATAACAATTTGTCAAATTTAGTCTTAATTTATTATGGAAATAGAAAATCATAATTTACTTTGAAGTATTCTCCATGCCTGAAACATTTATCCACGCTCAACACAGAAAAAACAGGTATCTTTCAACCACTTTTGAAAAGTCACATGCATTATGATAAATTTAATTTGCATTACATTCAGAAGGAATGGACTCATACCTTTTTGCATTCCAACGAGATAGTGATGAAGCACCCTAATTCTGCTATTCAACATCTTGATTGCACTATGAATACTAGTAAGATGAGCAGCCACTGCATGACAAATACAAAGAGCTCAGTTGTAATCATCAATTACAGAAAAGTTAAAACTAAAAAGGCTTCCGTCAAGGAAGATCATTACTTTCCACAGAAATTCCAATAAGGAAAAGAAGAATGCGAGCTTACATTGAGTTGCTGCTGAACCTCCATCAGATGGCTTTAGATGGGCAACATGATCCACAGAAATCCTCTCAGCTTCAACAGTCTTTGCCCCCCCAACCCCCCCCCCCAAAAAAAAAAAGAGAGAGAAACAACCTCAGCAATTCCAATCGGTGAAAATTAAAACAAAACTGTGTAGATAAGAATGGAAATTTGGGAAGTGTGAGTATGAACCTCAATTGTGTAGCTTGATCGGACAAAAATAAGTTGTGGAATCCCATCTATAATGTGCAGTTCTTTTATGTCGACAAGACCAAGAGGAGGATGAATAAAAATGTCATCACCAAAGAATAATTAGGAACTGTAAAGGTTATTAAAACCACCTAAACTGCACAAGATTTTCAGGTCGTGACCCTATCGGGATTATCATTCCAAGATAGTTTCTTTAAATAAAGGAAAGTTAACACATGACCAAATTAGCAAATATAGAATGTATATCTCATGTTGGAAAACGAAGCATGTATTAACAATAATGAAGGAACGAATTAGACAGACAGCTAATCAAACATAACACAACTACACTTTAAACTTTAAAATTACGTATGATAGCACATAGGATACCTCAATGCAAAAATCCGGAGACAATGAGAGGGCCGATATTGATTAATTTAAAATAATGAAATATAGAGAAACAGAAACAAACCACTTTCATAAATGGTGACTGGAAGATCCTTTTGGGCAGGATTGATTGTAGGATTGAGAAGCACATAGAGAGGGCTTTCATTAATATCCATCAACTGTAACAAATGAACAAGGAGAAATTCTTAAACAAACGCATTGTACAAAGAAAATAGGAGACAACCGAGTACTGCAATACCATAGTTCCTTTGGTAGATATTAGTTACAAATAAAAGTGGAAAGACAGACCCCTCACCGTAGCAATAAAAAATTAACAATAAGCAACACAATCAAATATGCATCTATAACTGTGAAAGAATGGGGAGGTTGAGAAAACATACAGCTTTATGAATGTGCATATCAGATTCCTGGGCATCGCTCCAGTGGAGTACCATCCAAGAATATAAAAATGGGGGAAAACCTTCTTATCTTGGAAAATAAATTCAAAGGGAAAAAAATAAATTGGAATTATAAAACCAATAAAAGAAGAAAGAAACAGAACGAAATAAAGTCTTGGTCATACAAAGCTCCTGTTTCTTCTCGAGGAAGGTGCGGTCGAGGGAGTTGGTGGAGGGATCGTAGAGAAGCTCGAAGCTGTTGAAGATCTCAACGGTGCGACCACTCTGGATACCTATGACACATCCGTAGACTCGAGGGGCTTGCTGTTGGTGTTCGACGCCGTTGACGGTGGTGGAGGTGGAGGTGAGTGGATGAGAGTTCATCTGAGACTTGACCCGAGTGTAGTGATCGGAGATGTTTACGATTACAAGAGGATGAAGCTTGAAGGTTAGGCCGCTGCTCGACGATGACGCCATTCTTTGATTCCAATATTTGATTGTATCTTCCCAGTTTCAGTCGATGCTTTGCTTTCCTGCAATTTTATTTTATTTGTATATAGTTGGAATTTTGATTTGGACTCTCTTAGGCTTAAAGATATAAATGAGAATTAAGCCCAGTCCAGCCTCATATATATAAATGCCAAGTCTAAATTAATCTTCAAACATTTTATCTAAGTTCTTAGAATATCAATCAAGTGTTTTCGTTAGCCTAACGATTAACTTGGATATAAACTCATAACTCATTAAGCGATCTCATTGATAAAATAAATTATTATTCTTTTTTAGAAATTTTAAGTTCAAATAATTATGTTTACAGAATATGATGTTCTACTAGTCCTGATTTGTTTTAAATAAGTCCCAAAATCTAATTTCTTTTATTAATGAACAAAGCACTTATAAATACTATACGTGTATATATTTTGGCCTGCAAATTACATCAAAGGATCCACAGCAAAACATTCAGTGCCTGATATGGAGACTCAATTTTAATTATAATTCTAAACACGGCATCAACAATTTGATTCTACGTTGCTCTAATCTCTATATACGTGGTTTGCAGGCAGCAGGCCAAGAGAGAGATACAGACGCCTTTAATTAATGGCCGTTGGCATTTACAATCTCCCCTTGATTATCCTTCCTATGCGCATGCCTTCCTGTGAATTATCTCTTCTCTGCATCACAATGGCACGGACAACCAACGATAAATATTTAAATTAAAACCACATTCATGGTTTTTTTTCTCCTCTATATATACTACAGATTGTATAACAGATTGAAGCGTAAATATGAACCTGAGACAGTTCCGGATTGAGTCATAATGAAGAATGACAATGACTCTCCGCTTCCTTCCTTTGTGGGGCTCTCCACCACGTTTCACCACCGGCAATTGTTTTACTCCACTAGCCTCCATCAACTCCCTGGCAATTGCCAAGTCTGTGTCTGGAAAGCAGGTTAGAACTCCACGCTCATGTCCACGATAGCTTATCCCTTTTGTACAGACAGAGGAAACAAGACATGTGTTCGCCTGTATGCATGGTTTAATTGTTTGTTATTCAAAACATGAAAGAGCGAGCGGAAGAGAGAGACGGAGAGAGAAGGTTGGCATCCCATACATCCAGATCTGTTGAATCACCATTGGAGACATCACTAGGCTTCTTAGACAGATACCGTCTAATATCACCGAATGTAAGAATTCCCTCCAGAAAATCATCTTCATCAACCACAACCGCACATTTCTGATGTCCGTCGTGCATACTTTTCATTGCTTCTTTTACAGTAACAGCCATTGACACCTTCAAAAGCTTCTTTGACATGGCCCTAGAAACCTGACAACAAACAATAAGGAATTCATCAAGTTGGGAAACTCAACTTCAAATAAGAGAGTACCAATGAGGAGCTCGAACAATGAATTGAAACAAGAAACTTGATCATTTTGAAAAAACTTCTCTAAATAAGAGAGAATTATACCCTAAGATCCTCAAGAAGCGTATCTTCATCTAGTGCTTCTAGATCAGCAGCCTTTTCTATGACAGAGAGTTCCTCAGAAGCAGAAACAGAAGACTATCCTCTTGATGAATTCCTCGTATCAGATGCTTCAGTCTCCTTGTTCTGGTTAGCCACTGAAGGAACCCATATTGCTAATCCAACAGCCCCCTATATGCCAAATTGAAAAAGAAGAAAAATTAAGAGGTAAATAATTAGAC